GACGCTGACCTAAATTCACAGAGGAATAACAAGGAAGTGAGAACACACTAGGAACACAGCTGACACTAATAACCATAACGAGACAGGGGAGACTGGACTGAACAGAATGAACACGAAAACGTGGGACCTTCACAATAAAACAGGAAACATGATGTGGGAGTGGAGGAGAGGCAGACGAGGGAGCGAGGGAACACGCTGGGGAAACATGGAAAAAATAGAAAAAAACATGAAGGGAACCACGGCACAAGAACTCACACCACAATATAAACACAGACACATAGTGAGACACAGAGGGCAGAGACACAAGGGCGAATCCAATAAACTAAACTGAACAACCTAGGAACCGCAGAATAAATAATGAACTAACAAAATACAAAACCACAAGAAAACTAAGAACGCTGGGTAAAAATGACCCAGGACCATGACATCTTCTTCTGTTTTTTCATATATACACTTAATGGCCACTTCATTAGACACACCTAGTCCATTGCTTGTTAATGCAAATATCTAGTGAGCCAATCACATGGCAGCAACTCAGTCTGCAGAAGTTCAAAATGAGCATCAAAATGCAAAGAAAGGTGATTTAAGTGACTTGGTAAAAAAGTCCCATGGCTGCTGATGGCACGCAGGTCTAAGTATTTCAATACCTGCACAGTCATTTTTAGGGCTTACTTAAAATGGGATGGCCAGACTGCTTCAGGCTGAATAGGAAAGCAACAGTAACTGAAATGACTGCTTGTTACAACCAACATATGCAGAAGAGCATATATGTAGAAGTGCAACACATAAAACCTTGAAGCAGATGTGCTACATACAGCAGACCACACCTGGCACCACTCCTGTCAGTCAAGAACAGGAAACTGAAGCTACAGTTTTCACAGGTTCACCAATACAGGACTTCTTGGTCTGATGAGTCTCGATTTCTGCTGCAACATTCAGATAGCAGAGTCAGAATTTATTGTAAACAAAATGAAAGAAAAATCTTCTGGTGTAAGGGTGTGGGAAATATTTTCTTGGTACATTTTGGCATCATTGAAACCCCACAGCTTACCCGAATATTGTTGTTGACCTGGCGACAGTGTACACATCTTCTGATTGTTGCTTCAGCATGATAAGGTACCAACAAAGTTCAAATAATCTCAAACTGGTTTCTTCAATATGACAGTGAGCACTGATTTGTACTCAAATGGCCTCCAGAGTCACATCATCTGAATCCAATATAGCACTTTTGAGATTTGGTAGAATGGGAGATTCATATCATGGATGTATAGCTGACAAATCTGCAGCAGCTGTGTGATGCTGTCATGTCAGTGTGGTCCAAAATAACTGAGAAATTCTTCCAACTTGTTGTTGAATCTGTGCCACATAGAATTTTAGCAGCTCTGAAGGCAAAAGTGAGTCGAATGCAGTATTAGCAAGATGTAATATAGTGGCTTGTGAATGTATTTAATGTGCGTAGTTGAGGTTTTGTGGTACCTTCGCTGTACTTAAATGTTATATAATATAGTATGAGATACTTGGAGTCAACTACATTTCCAAATGTAATCTACCTTTTTATCCACCTGCTTGCATTTGACAGCGATAACATTTCCTTTTTCAGCTTTTTATTCTGCTATTGCTGCTCTTACTTAAGCAAAATAAGCACTTAAATTATCAATAACTTAATAAAGCTTCACGTAAGCAGTCCAAGGATAGGTTTAATATTGCTCTTATGCTTGACTTCTACATCACCTGTCTCTCTCTCCTGGAAATGTTTAATTAATTCACAGTTTAATTCATCGCACCGAAACTCCAGTGCAGAAAAAACAAGACAAATAGGACGTCTGAGTTATCCCCTTACAAAAAAACACTTTTTATGTCTCAGGTATGTAGATACGATATAAAGCACTGTGCAAATGTTATGGATCTTATAAGGATGCCATGTATGATTGATCATTCTACAGACAGAAGAAAACAATAAAACGCATAAGCTGTATTCGAATTCTTTACATTTAAAAGCGTTCCCCACCCAGCCAGCAGGCAGGTTCTTTCAAATGCTTGAGGAACTTTGCACAATTGTGTGAATTTAAGCTGTCTCAAGTGCTTCTGTCACTTTTGTAATCCCACACTGATTCCATCTCGGTCTGTGGGGGCCATACCATCTGGTGTAGGATGCCTTGTTCTTTTTGTAGCTGAAGATACATCTTAATTGACTCTGGCTGTATGTTTGAGGTCATTGTTGTGTGCTACGGACTGCATTTGAGCCCGATCAGATGCCGCTACGATGGTGTTGCTTGATGGGCAAAAGTTTCAACATCATTTGTAATAGTTTAAAAAAAGGAATACATTTTGTAATTTGATGTAATCAAAACTGTGTTAGCCTGATGATTCCTAATAGCTACCTCTTAAAAACTAAAAACCCCATCCAAAAAGTGCAGCCGGCAGATTAAATAAAAAAAACTACAACTACCATTTGACCTAGATCTGCTTCCTAAATAAACAACGTGTGCATCTCATCGGCCAGGAAATTGCATTAGTGCACATTAAAGCGACCGTGGAGGGGGGTCACAAGCTGTTTCCTCGGGAGACGCTACCTGCCTGTATTATGTGCAGGAGAGTGAGAGAGGGGAGGAAGGAAAAAAAAAACCTGGGATGCTGCTGTTGCATTTGAATGTGTGCCAGAGAGATCCCTCCTCTGTGTCCTTCACTGCCTCATTTCACTTTGTGCAAAACAGCATCACACCCTCTATTCCTCTGCCCCTTTCTCTCTCCCCGCTGTCTGAGTGACACCTGATATAGCTAGGATGAGCACTGTGCATGTTTTTGTGTGTGTTTGTGTGAGTGTGTACTGCTGGTTGTAGGTCTGCATGTTTCATAAAAGTCAAATTGTCCCATTTGTTCATCCGAATGACCTTAATTTCAGCATGCCTCCTGGCTCTGCGTCTGTGTGTATTGACCAGACATTTTAGATTCGGAGCCAAGATGAGTTACAGCAGTGGAGATGATGCACTGTCACTGCAGAGGTGCAGAGTTAAAAGCTACACATACTGAATGAAAAGGAGACCTTTTCTTTCACTGGGAAATGAAGACAGATTCGCTTGTGAGCACCTCAAATGACTTCGCAAAAGACTGTAAGAGAGGGGCAAAAATAAATAAATAATCCTGCTTGATAACAGCTGAGGAGGACAGTGATTTAGAGACAGTAGATGGGAGTAGACTGCACATTGATCAAACACCCTCTTCCCCTTTAAATATAGATTTTAGAGAAAATGTGAAGGAAAGTAATTTACTTGCCAGCTATTTCCTATGGATCACTGTGTGCAAATCAATCACTTGTGGAGAGATATTATCACTTAGAGTTAAAGAGTTTCTCACTTTGAAGTAAAACGCCAGATGTCAGTAACTTTGAAAGCAGTTAATGGTGATGGCAAGAATTCGGTATTACCTCTTCTTTGGGCTTTAGCTGTTGGCTAATCCCAAATTGCTTCAACAATGTTGAGGTCTGGGCTGTGGGGAGGCCAATCCATGACCGATAGTGTTCAATTTATGCTTTTGTATCCATGAATGCTTTTACTGCATTGACCGTGGGTTTGGGATCATTGTCATATTGACAAATGAAACCGTTAGCAGATGGTTTAGAACTTGGATCAAAGTCTGATGGTACATTTCAGATTTCATAATTACATCAATTTTGACAAGATCCCCAGCACCATTACCTGACATGCAGCTCTAAAACCATCACAGAGCCTTCATTGTGTTTTACAGTAATCACTCACTAATGATTCAAATCAAAAGTTTCCCATCTGGATTCACCACTCCATCAGACCTGTTGCCACTGATTTTCAGACCAGGGCTTGTGTGGAGATACTTTAGTCTTTTCTCTCTGTTTCCTTTCCTTAAGAAAGACTTCTTGACAGCCACCTTTTTAACTGACATCATCTCTAAAGAGGCTTCAGTGAACAGCTAAAAATGCAGGATCTATCAGTGTACCACTGTGTCAGATCTCTGAATAAAATAAAATAAAATAAAATAAAATAAAATAAAATAAAATAAAATAAAATAAAATAAAATAAAATAAAATAAAATAAAAGGAACTGCTATAGGTAGTTTTCAGGCCTGCCATTAATTGACACTGCACACCGTGCTTAGATATGTTTTCAGCTAAAACCTCTTTAAGAATCACCTTGTTGCTGCCTAAATGCTATTTTATGCCTTTATAACCACATTAGCGTTGGAATTTTACAAGTATTAGATAAAAGAAATGGGAAAAAATATATGCTTTGTCACAGTTAGTAAAAAAGTGCCTAAAGATAAAATGTAAAATTGGTTCTTTGCTGAGTTCTCTGTTCTGTGTAGACACAACACTGGTTCATCCCATTAGTTAGGAGCCTTTTTATGCTTTTAATGATTCATATGTCAGTGTTAAGTAGCTTCTGAAAATCGTAAGGAACAAGGACTGGACTAGAAATGAGTAAAAAAGCAGCCAGTGTCCAAGGAAAACCATCCAGAGAACTATTGATCAAGCGCACTTTATTCAGGCTCTAAACTCTCTTCTAAACCCAGTTATTGCAGTCACATGTCAGCCATTGTTGTTGTTGATGTTTGGTTATCTTTTCATATACAGAGAAGGTTTCAGTCGGCAGCACTTTGTCAGATATTTTTTTAACAGTTTTATTTTTCTTCCTATGAATGAAGAAGCTACTTTTTTTTACGGATATGATAATAACTTAGACACAGCTCAAAAAACTATACATCTCTCTGAGCTCATATAGCCAAATGTGCATTGATGGATGAGTGATCTATTAATTCTTAAGGATAATATTCATAATTTAAAATAGCTGAGATGTGTTTTGTGTGTGTGTGTGTGTGTGTGCGCGCGCGCGCGTGTATGTGATTGCATTACATAACTTTCTTCCATACAGTAATGCTGTATCACTGTGACAGAACTGGCAGGTGAAGGAAGGTTCAATCCCCACGATCTCCTCTCCGAGGCGCAGTAATCTAGCGTTTGTCAGAGTAGGAAGTGCAGTTTGCGGTAACAGTGAATTGAAAGTACGCCATAAATATGGCGCCAAAAGAGTTTTCAAGCTGATGATAAGAGCTGATTTTTCTCTCATTCTGTGTTGTCTTTTTTATTTTTTTCTTTCCCGGGGGGTGGGAGGGAGAGGGCTAGCAAGAGAAGACCCGCCTGTGCATTTGTGCAGAGCGGTGTGCACGTACACAGCACCGGGCAGAGGAGTGGAAGCGAGGCAAGGCACCGGAGCAAGTGAAGAAGACGAGGAGGAGAGAGCGCTGTGTTTTATTTTTGAAGGAAGGGGACGTTGCGAAACTGGCTTGCAATCTTTACTGACTCATCGCTTGGAAATAGAGCAGACCTTTTTTCTTTTTCTTTATTTCATTTTCTTTTTAAATCCTCGCTTCTCCTCCTGCTCCTCCTCCCGTGCGGCTGGCACCGGAGAGGAAAACAGTCGGATTTTGACACCACGTTTGGGGTTGCTTTTTGCAAAATGCGACACGCTTTCCTGTGAGCGCTATGTTGTGCGCACCTCGCAGCCCGTTACGCCGTGAACGGTAGCAGGACCGGCCGCTGCACCCGCTCCGTTTGTTATTGACTTGTGGAGGCTGTATCTCATCCTGGCTGCCACTTTTTTTGGCTGGGGGGGGATTTTTATTTCGGATTTGGACTCGGTCGTAGGTCTTTGCAGAGCTGACGCGCTGTCAACACACCGAGAGGTGAGGTGAGGTGAGGGGAGGGGAAGGGACAGTCCTGTCACCTAGCGTGGACCAGGAGCCAGCTTTTTTAGCTGCACTGCTAACAGCCTGCCAGGGCACCGAGTGGGCACGCTGAATTAGTCCTAAACCGCCTCCGCTGTTGAACTACATGTGCCTGGCTCCCAATGATCTCCTAATCTCTGGGAATCGCCCGCCGTCCAGGACTGAGGACGTCTCTGTACCCGAAGCAGACAGCGATCAAGGTAAAATAAGAAATAACGCTGATTTAGTAAAAAAATAAATAAATAAAAGTAGAATAAAATAAACATCCGAAGTCCACTTTGCTGCTGCTGCTAGTGCTATATCAGAGCTAGGCTAGCAGCTGTGTACGGACTTTCTCGCAGCGGACTTGTGAGTTACAGTCGCGGCTGTGGCGCTCCGCCAGTGAGCGGGGCAAACGGGTCCAGGAGAGGTGGCGATGTTGTGGGTGAGGCGTGGGGATATGCGCTTTACGTGTTGCAGTGAAGAAAAGACAAACAGCGCCTTTGAAAGCAGAGCCGGTGCACTCACTGCAGGGACATGAAATTAACCGGGGACACTCGGGCCATGTTGTTGTGCTTGAAAAATGTGACGTGAACGAGCCAGCTCCCCCCGTGGGAATCAAAAGAGTGCGAGCTGGTTAGTTGGAGCGTATCCAAGAGTGTGGTTATTGTTGTTATTATGCATTTATATTTTTTCGGGGCGTAATTGTTCGCGGCAGTGGGGTGAGTCGTGTGGGATATTTTAAATATAAACAATGAAAAAAAGAAAACTTGCGGGGGTGTTGAGGGTCGCACACATGGAGAGGCGCATGAGGTGAAGTTGTGAAGAGAGGAGGAGGTCTGGGATGGGGTGGGGTTGGGGTGTTGGTGGCACCAAACAATTTGCAGGCCCTGGGGATTTGCAGGTTTCTTCACTGCTCGGTAAATGGAGGGAGGGGGGTTCGGGCAAAAGGGACCAGCGGAAGCTGTACTGCTTTTAGGAAGGCTGGGCACGCAAGCATACACACATCAAGGAATTAGAGCAACTTCTCTCTGCCCCCTTCACCCCATCCCCCTTCCTCCTGCTTCGTGCTGTGCCGATCTAGCTGGCGTCAGAAAAGGGGGGGCTGTTGTTTACCTCTAAGTCAGAGCTCTCTCTGAGTGTGGCAGATGCATTCATACCTGGAGGGGGGGAAACAACAACACCACCAGGACATGACACGTGGATGCAGATGGTGATGCTGCAAGTCAGATGTCTGCAGGATTAATGGGTTATAACTGGGGCATTTGCCTCCTGTGTGATTTTTTTTTTTTTTGTGGCCACCTACTCTTCAACATTTGCCTGGAGCATCTCCAAAGAACACAAGTATATCTGCCTATTAGTGCTAATTATTAACGGGTGGAGCAATTTATCTTTTTTTTTTTTAGTTCAGAAAGGCTGAAGTGGCTCTAGCGTTGAATCAATTGAATTGTCTGGAGATTTGTTAGATGTTCCCAGTAGTGACAGCCTTCCCTCCCACCTACCCTTCCTCACACACGCATACACATGTGCATCATTATCATCATCATCACGATCGCCACTTGCAAGCAAGACCTGTGCACATATGCCAACAACTCCACGTGCTTCATGCCTACTCTGATCCTCAAGTATGGATGCAGGTAGCGATTACACAGATGCGCACATATACATACCTTCACCTCAGATTGTCTTCCTCACACAAACACAAACACAGACACACAACCGTCCTCCTCCCGCTGGGTATGAAACCGGAGATGAGTCATGGTGTGTGGGGGTATAACAGCTCTCTCTCTATCCCTCTAGCCCCTTCTTAAATTTTTTTTCATATCTTTTTCTGATGCAGTGCTATCTTGTTCTCACTCATGCTCATTTCTCTCCCGCTCTCCACCTTCCCTCCCTCGGGTCTCTCTTCGCTCGCCTAGAGACAGTGGTTGTTTACAAAATCAGCGAATGGGGATGAGTGCTGTTGTTATTTTGCTTCCACATTTTTGATGACAGCCCTCCAGCCAGTCGTCTGTATTTCAGTTGCTTCTTCATCTTCCATTGCTCCATCTCATTCAACTCTCCCTCTCTTTCTGTACTCCATCCACTCTTTTGTGCTTTTCTCCACCAACTTCTCCATCATCCATCCATCCATCCATCCATCGTACCGCCACTCCCTTCACACCATGTCATTTGCAGACCTTTTAAGCCTCACATGTGCCCGTACTCACACGTGTGTCTAGGCGTGGGTGTAGTGTTGCGTGTGTGTCTGTGAGTATTAGTGTCTGCTGCGTTAAGCGCTCAGCTCTTATTGGCTGGAAAAGGGGGTAAGGTCCCCCACGTGGTGTGTTGTATCGCATTAGCTGGCTACGTAGGTGATGATGAGGAGGAGGAGGAGAGATGCTGTTCATGAATGGACGGCTGACGTCACTTAAACCGTACCCTCAATCCGTCACACACATACACACAAATGGATGTTTTTACGCACATCGCTGATGAAGGCTGCGAAAGCGTGTATAGTTGTTGTTGTTGTTGTTGTTGTTGTTGTTGTTTTGGGGTTTTTTTAAGAGTTAGATTTGGAGATTTGTCGTATAGGAAGGATGGGAACCAGCTGAGCATGTGTGTGTGTATGGCTGCCTTCAGGCGTGTTGGCTAGCTGTCATGTTCATAGCTCTCTGCTCTGATCTGCTTAGTAACCAACTAACTAACCCAGCAGCATGTGGGCTACTAGCTGAGGAGGATTTGTGTATCTGTGTCACAATACTGTAACTGTTCAGCTGAAATTTCTTGTAGTTTGAGACGATTAAACATTCTTAATTTTTTTCATTATTATTGTTACTTTGTGTTTCCTACATGCTTTTTCACAGCACTATTTATATATTTGCCCTCTTCCTGATTTCTTCGTTTTTGCATACTTGTCACATTCAAACGTTTATCATTAGACAAAGATCAGAGTAAATGCAAAATGCAGTTTTTCAATGGTGATTTAATTTATTAAGGGATAAAAAAGATCATTCAAAACCTACCCTGTGTAAAAATTGCCCCCTAAACCTAATAACTGGTTGTGCCACCGCCACCCTTGGCAGCATAAATTGCAATCATGCGTTTGAGATACTCACCAATGATAGTCTTTTACATCACTGCGGAGGAATTTTGGCACACTCTTCTTTCCAGAGTTATTCGAGGCTATTTCGGCATGAACAGCCTGTCTAGGGTCGTGCCGAAGCATCTCAATTAGATTTAAGTCTGGACTTTGACTGGGCCACTCCAAAACATTCATTTTGTTTCTTTTGTTTTTTGAGATATTCAGAGGTGAACTTGCTGGTGTGATCAACAGTTACAGCAAAGTGTCCAGGTCCTGAAACAGCAAAGCAGCCCCACATCATCTTGCTACCGCCACCATGTTTGACTGTTGATATGACCTGACCTTAACTGAGGCAAATAAGACCAGCAGTCCTTTAGATGTTGTTTGGGTTCTTTTATGACAACCTGGATGAGTCGTTGATGAGCTCATTTGGTAGGTGGACCATTACTGGGAAGGTAATACCACTGTTGACTGTCGCTGTGGTTTATTGAAGTAATAAAGCCTTAGAAATGCTCAACAGGTCTGGCACTAAGACTGGCAGCTGCTTGTAAAGTTGAACTCAGCTTTCCAAAAAAATATGGTTAATCAGTTTTTTTCATGATTTAATATGAGGAGTGGCATAATTAATTTTGGATATCTCAGGTTTGGATAACTCTTAATAAATGAAATCAGCATTTAAAAGCTGTATTTTTTTATTTAACTGGAATATTAAAATGTGTCTGGTGATGACAAATTTAAGACAAATATGCTAAAAAAAATCAGGAAAGTAGAAAATACTTTTAACAACAAAAACTTTAATGTTTTATTCAGAATAAATTCATATGTGAAGTTGCCATTAGTTCACTTACAGTTTAGCTTAGTTCAGATTGTGTTAATTAGTTTGTCCTGCACAGATTTTTGTCGTGTCTTAGAGGTTTTGCAGCACGAAACAAACCATGTGTTGGCTTAAATGCCGCAGGCATGTTTTTATGCATTACCCTGATGTGTTCTGTCAGTGTTTGCTCGAAGCAGATGACCCCGCTGTGGCCTAGAACCTCATTAGCGGCTTCTTGTGCGTGTGCATGCGTGCACATGCTAACCTGCTGTTCTGTGAGCAGGAGATGACGTCAGACTTCAAGGGGAGAGGGGGTGTTTTCATTTTTATATATTTTTTTCTCATGTCACTGTGAGTCAGCCTTGTTATTAAGGGATAATTGCAAAGTCTGCACACCTGCACAGAACACTGGCGAGGAGGAAAATGTGGAACATATTTCAAGAGAAGACTTTTGCAGGAGTAATTGGAATGTGCTTCCTAACTGTTTGGTCTGCAAAACCTGTCCCTTGTTGACTGAATGAGAGCAGTGGATGCTGCGGTGCACCAGATGTTTTTTCAGAAAAATTAATGATGCTTTTTTTTTTTTTTTTTGTTACATTTTACAGGAAAGCCTTTTTGAACAAAAACTGTGTCGGGAAAAAAAACTTGTTATTATAATTTTTTCATATCAGTGTAATGACTATTTCTGTCAAACTTAAATGTAGAGCATTATAAAATTGTATTTTAAATAAAAAAAACTTAGGTATATATAGAACCTGCTATTGTTTTTTTCTTTTTTTTACCCTGGATGTCCTTTCCGATGCAGCTCCAAAAGGATTTGTGACAGACTGAACCTGGGATCTTTGCTTGTTTGGAAATTTTGTGTGAAACCACAGATGTAGGTCTGACCGGTCGAAAGCTTCAAGTCTTACGGGAGAACACAAACAAAATGGAAAAATAAATTATTTGATTAGTTTAAAATAAGCAAAGCGGGTAAATTCAAGAAAAATTCACATGTAAACAAAGGAGAAAATAAGCAAAAATGAGCTATTCATTCAGCTCTGGTCCTCTTATGGCAGGACTGTCTCAACGAAGTGGGCAGTCAGGATTATATATGGGGTTCGCTGCGGGTTTGTAGCTTAGCAAAGTCGTACTAAAACATTTGACAGATTTTCGAGCGCCGTGTACGACATAAAATCGTTTCGAGGTCAGTAAACACAACCAGAATTCATACATACACACGGGATTATAATCTGTCGACTTTCAGAAAAATCAAAGGATTGATTTTAAGTGTGCCGTATTTTCCAAAAAACACGGTAATAACGACGGCCCGCTAGCATGCTCTTACCAAAAATAGTGCTTTG